GTGTGTGTGTGTGTGTGTGTGTGTGTATGTGTGTGTTTATTTGTTGTTCTGCCAAGACCCAGGAGAACCAAACTCCACCCGGTTTTCAAAAATGTTCCTAGTCAGTAAGCATACAGCTATGCTTAAAAAGCAAATATTTATTGACCACTCATTCATAAAACATGCACGAGTGCACACACACCAAACCCAAAAAGAACCATTACATAACTGAATACTGCACAGACTAAGTTTCTTTCAGTGTATGCATCCACATGTCAATTATAATTAGAGATGGGCATGAACCGCCAGTTCGGCCATCCATGACGGTTCATTTAACAGCTGAACAGGTGTTGGGCACCCACTTGGGGGCCGTGCTGGGAGGAAACCGGGTGAAGAAGTCAGGGCGCTGTCTCTTGAGTGGACGCCGGCCGGTGGAGGTGGGGCTCAGAAATCTGAATACCTGTTTGGCTACTGACACGAACCGTGAACCGGTGGTTCATGCCCATCTCTAATTATAATTGACATTTGGCTGCATACACTGAAAGAAACTTAGTCTGTGCAGTATTCAGTTATGTAATGGTTCTTTTTGGGTTTGGTGTGTGTGCACTCGTGCATGTTTTATGAATGAGTGGTCAATAAATATTTGCTTTTTAAGCATAGCTGTATGCTTACTGACTAGGAACATTTTTGAAAACCGGGTGGAGTTTGGTTCTCCTGGGTCTTGGCAGAACAACAAATAAACACACACATACACACACACACACACACACACACACACACCCGTGAGGATCAGGATAGTGTTTTGTTTTGCAAAGGTGTTTTTAGCTTTTTAACTAATCTGGGACTTTTTTTTTAAAAAAATTGACTTATTTCACTACTGTTGATAATTAAATCCATTTGCAAAGCGGCATAAGGCACCATGTATATGATCCCTAGATCTAGCTCTGCCGTTTGGAAATTATTATTATATGTACAAAGAGGGTGTGTTGTGTATCCAGGAGTTTTTTCCCCCCTTTCTTGCAGTGAAAAGTGTGTATCACCCCTTTGAAGCCTCTCCTTTTCTATGAAAAGATGAAATGATGGCTCCCTCTTAGTTTTTCAGCTTCTCTACTCTTACCCACTTAATTTACTATCCTTTTTAAGGAGTTTACAATGGATTTGTTATAACGCAAGGCTTCATTGTTGCCGGTGTTTTCGAGCAAAAGCGGAACAACCCTACCCCCCCCCCCATTCTCCTGGCCCTTCATGGCTCAAGTGCTTCTTCCCCATCATGAATGTCTTCTTAACCTTGTGGCTGTTTTAGGGCAGAGGAGACCTCGGTCTCTCTTTAGGGGCTGGGAAAAACCAGCTGCAGGATGGGATTTTCTCAGTCAGCTCTTTGACACAGAAGATACCAAAAGGCAAAAAGAAACAGTCGTTTCTCTCCCCTGGCCTTTTTACTCAGCCATTTTGGGGGCGCAGCGATGTGGTTCTATGGATTAGCCAGTTTTCTTCTCTATGTGTATGTGCATTGGGAAAAAATAGTTTTGGAAAATCCTTAGATTGTATGGAAAAACATATAAGGTTGTCATCTTTGTGACTTGCCTGGCTTTGTGTTCTGTAGTATTTTGGTCCTGTTTTCAGGAGGACTGGACATTTCTAAAATTTGAAGACTCACACGGCATCCCAAAATGCGTTGAAAAACTACATTCCGACCACTTCGGCCTCCATGTTGTTGTCTATTTTTCTCTTTACAGGCTATCTATATCCTCCTAGTTACACAAAGCCGCTCTTCCTGTCCTTTGACCTTTCCTGTGTCTTTTGCTACCACGACTGATCTGAGTGGTAGTGCATTTACATTCAATTAATCTCACTTGGTTCAGTGTAAAATTGTTGTTACATGGTAATGACTGAATCCGTGCTTGATGGTTCCTTGTTAAGACAGCTTTAAATCTTCTGCTTTTAATCACCAAAGGGCCACTTTTGTGTAATTCTAAGAAACCTGTATTCTAGAACTTCTTAAAACATAGTGTCCGCCCTATGCCATGAAAAAGCATTTGAAGTAACCCTAAATATAATAGTGTCACTTTTATTTTAAAAAGAAGAAATGTAGCTCATCGTAGTTCTGGAAAAAGCATATTGTTTTGGATGCATGTATGAACACCTTTGTAAAAAAAGATCTGGAAAGAGAAGGGGAATAATTAAACTAAGATTGTCTGCTGATCTCCCTCGCTGAGCACTTGGGGAAAAAAGGAAGCATTCCTAGATTCTACGCCAAATTTGGAGAAGTTGTATATAGTGGTGCCTTGCTTGACGAGGATAATCCTTTCCATTCAAATCTCTGTTAAGTGAAATCCTCATCAAGCGAAATGAAAAAGCCCATTGAAATGCATTGAAAACTGCTCACTGTGTTCCAATGGGCGAAATACCGCAGCATCCAGCGAAGATCCTCCATAGGGTGGCCATTTTCCGGTGCCTGTAATGCGATGAATCCATCCTAAGCACAGCGGGGAGCCATTTTAAACAGCGAGCAGCCATTTTGAAACCCAGCAATCAGCTGTTTTCTGATTGTCGTAAAGCGAAAAACCAGTTCCCGAAGAAGGGAACTGATCATCATGAAGCGATTTTTCCCATTTAAAACATCGTTTTGCGATCGCAAAAGCGATCACAAAAACTTCATCGTTAAGCGATTTCCTCCTCTAACAAGGTAATCGTCAAGCGGGGCACCACTGTATGTATTTAAGCAGGTTGCTTCCCCGGTGTCTCTTTGCTCAGGCCTGCTGTCTGTTTTCTGTCTCCTGGAGAAAAGTGTACAACAGTACCCTAAACCAAATATAGGCCATAAATCATTGTGCATGATATCACTATACACTCAAGATTCCTATAGCCAATGAATATTTAGTCTGTTCTACTTGTGAAACTGATATTTCATTCATTCAGTTGCCATATGTCTGACAAAGTGGACATGTCCGTGAAAGTTCACATTAAAATATAAATAGTCTTTAAGGTGCCACATGTTTTTGTCTTGTTTTGTTTCTTTGGATTTTGCCTAATAGACTTGCACAGACTAACACAGCTGTCTCTTTTAAAACTTGCCTAGATGGAGTTTCTATTTTTGTAGCATTTCAGAATTGACAGAAGCTTAACTGGATTTCTGCATAAATGTTTTGAGGTTGGCTGTGAAAAATAATGTAAAATCTTCGTGAAGTCAGGCCGTTTTTGCTTTTTGAGTCTGGATGTAGAACAGTCCTTTTGCTACTACTGCCTGCTGGGATCAGGTGGAACAACTTTCTGGGGCGGGATGGGGGGCGGGGAAGTCCTAGGTCATAACTGAGTTACTGGAATCTGTGCCGTTGTGGTCTTAAGTTTGTTGTGATGTCCTTAAGCTTGGGTTTTAACCTACATTGCTCAGACCATTTTAGCTGTTGTTTTTCAAATGCAAGAGGTAGATTCCTAGTCCTCGTGTTTCTAAGAGCTGAAGGAGAGAAAATTGGAGAGGACTTAGCATGGATACCTGTATAACTTATATGGATTCGGTATCAGGATTTGCATGTAATTGGCTCCACTTTTCTGCTTTGACCCTTATCCTTCAAGCATTGTCAGGAGGGCAGACGTTTCATTGAGTATGATATTAACTAACTGTGCTAGATAACTAAATATATTTCTGTTTGTATCTTTCTTCCTTGCAGCTGTGAGTGTTTGAAGCCTGTATTGGTGTATGTGCGGTAACAACATGTCTGTGCCCCTCCTCGCGGATGCCGTGACCGTTTCAGGCGCAGAGCGGGAGACTGCAGCGGTAAGGGCTTGCTCTCTTTGGCTTACCATCTGTTGGGATCCGGGAAGATTAAAGGAATTAACTAGGTTTCTCTCCCCCACTCCCTTACTCCCTGCATGGCAGCTAAGCGCCATGGGACCCGCTCTTGCTGTCACTCAAAAGGGAGTGAGATGGGGGCCGGGGGGGGGTGTTGGACAGGCAGTGGTGGCAGGAATTTTGTGGAGATTAACTTTCATGGGAGAGCTGGGCAGCAAGAAAAGATCAAACTGGTTTTGTTCCTTTCCAGTAAAAGCCACACCGTGGTGCTTGTGTAGGACCTGTGCAAACAAAACAAAACAAAAAAACCCAGCATCCGGCAGGTAAATTAATCCAGCCATATCACATTGTGTTGGCCTCATGGTTGCTGTTGCGCTAACAAGGTAATAAACGGCCACAGCTTGCTTCCCCCCCTCCCCCCCGCCCCCTTGCTAATGCAGGCACCCGACTGCAGAGGCAGGCCCGCCCAGGCCCGCTGGCTCCACAGAAATAACGCTGACACCATGGGGGCCCCTGTACCCCTTTAATCCTCAGTCTCGCTAGCGCTGGCTGTATTCCCACCATCAGAGATAGACCCTGCGTTTGAGCGACTGCCTAATGTGTGTGAATTGTGCTCTCCCCTTTCACGCCGGTCAAATTCTGCACAGAGAACACATTGCCTAAAACGAACCTGTTTTTCTAGATACCATAGAGATGTCACTTAGCTTTACTTCTAGGGATTTTGCCTCTGAGCATGGTAGGAATGGAGAATAATTGGGAGACAAGCAGACTCGAGGGGCTTGGCATCTTCCTGACAGCTTAGTTACCTCTGCCAAGTTCCTATCATGTTTGTTTTCTTTTAATCTTTTCTACATATTCCTCCAAGCTATTCACATTGGTGAATGCTGCATTCTGTGCACACTTTGCTCTTGGGTGGCTGTTGAACCAATGTGGCAA